ATCTATCTATCTATCTATCTATCTATCTATCTATCTATCTATCTATCTATCTATCCATCTATCTCTCTCTCTCTCTCTCTCTCTCTCTGCAATGTCAGGAACACAAGGTAGAGATCAGTCGACGCCATGCTGTTGTCACATCCTGCCCCAGGGTGTATGCCTCATCTCTGGTTGTACTCTTATAGCTGGTCTACCGCTTTTTATTTTTTTCTATTTGGTCTCCAATACCGTGTCTGATAGAGCCATCTTGCTTCTGACATTCTCAAAACACGTCTCATAATATTTATCTCCATCTTTCAACGCAGAAAGAATATTCTTCTTGGGATTTGACGCCTGTCTTCTCTGAAAGGGGAAAGGTATGTGTATGGATTGCATGGAACATTTTTTTTAAAACATACGAAATCTTGGGGAATTCGAACCAACCTTATGAACCCGCACATTAGCTCAGCACAATACCAAGTGAGATTCGGAATATTTACTGATTAATTATCGAAGCTGCCTTTAACTTTTTCTTTCCTCAGACTTCTTCTCTCTAGCAACTAGGCCAATCTGCCCCCCCCACCTTAAAAAAGGAAGCAAGCAAATAAACAAATAAACGAATGAATAAACAATACGACAATCCGCCACTAAAAAAAACCATCCCTAAAATATAATATCAATAATTTGCACATAGTAGTAGGTATCGGGAAAACCCAAACAAAAACAAATCAAAATGAAAATGCCAATCTTTTGCACGTCACAAAATAACCAAAGGCGGCCTTAAAAACCACGATAATTCCAAGAAAAAGAGGGAATAGTCACGCCCATTGAAACCAATTTTTGCGAACGGCTCATTGCATTCTACAGCATCTACGCCTTCTGTCTCCTTCTCACATCTGTGGGAATCACGATCTCTTCTTTCAGGTGGAAAAATACGTCGTCAGGTAGGCAGTTAGGGAAGCGGCTAAAATTAGGGTACGACAAATTTGACATTTAGAAAGTGGGCAAGCCAAACAGGGCATCTCTGCTCATTTGCTTGAGCCAACATTGGAAAAGAGCAAGGCGTTTACATATCTTTTCCACGCCATTTTTTGGATTACCAAGATTTGCGGACTGAATAACTGTAATTAAAAATTCCGTTTTTACGCAAAGCTCTTTTGCATCCGTCTCATTCGGGGTTTTTTCCGAATAAAATTTAGTATTTACATCTTCAATCTGGGTTTAAAAAAATGTATTCTTCATTTTGGGAAAAGAGTCGTCGAC